CAGTGTGATCACTCAACAAATCTGAATAACTGACACAAAGACATAACACAAATAAACTAAGAATACACAAATAAAATGAGAACACATGAATAAAAGAAAGAATACATGAATAATGATCTGGCCCCGATAGATGGGCTAAACCATATATGTAGCAGAGGGAGAGGATGGATAAAATAGATGGTAATTAGATAACTGGGAGGGAACAGCAGGTTAATCAGAGTAATCAGATCTACCGGCACGGCGATCATGACACACTTAGTTTGCACATATCTGCAGAAAAAAGTGAGCGAGGCAGGAAAAATTACACTTCCTCCTGTCTTTCAAGTATCACAGAGTGCAAATTGTTGTGTAAATATGCTTCTGAGGTGATGCCACCTGAGGTCCGTTTTACAAAGCGGGTTTACTAAAAACTCTTAAGTTTTCTAAACCCGAAATATTGGAAACTTTGAGTTTTTCTACTTTACAAAGAGAATTTCCTTAACCTCTGTTTCAGTCACCATATGAACATTCTCCACAAAGCTAACCTGGTTGGCAGGGGCGGATTTAGGAAATTTGGGGCCCTAGACAAAGACAGGCATGGGGCCTTCTGAATTGAGAAGACAACACATAAAACAGACCCATTATACAGATACAGAAATTCTAATAGAACAGACGTACATTATTTGTTATACATTTTGTCCCTGGCTAAAACCATTCTCATTTAGTTGATAGCTTCTTCCTGTGCAAATACCACAGTCTTTTTTTTCACTGTAGACAAGCCATGATTTGCTTATCTGTTCTCGGGTTTTTTTATTAGAATAAAATAATAGCTGGAAACAACTCTGCGCCCATCTTTATTTCTTGGAAAGATCCTGTCCTTAACCTGGTGTGGTCTTTTCTGTAGTAGCAGTGTGCATGATCAGACAGCTGCTTTGGCCAGAGTGCTGGATTATCTTTGAGAAGTACACTGCTTACTGTCTGAGTGGAGGATGCTGGATTCTTGCAGTCTGGTGGAACTTCAAGCTCAGTGGAAACCTTGTACCCCCAAAATGACAATTTAAAGTTATTGTGGAGAATTTTCACAAATTTATTGAAAGACCTGCCCTCTCCACTTAAAAAAAATACACCTGCGAGAGCATGCACGAGCCCAACTTTTAAACAGAACGCTCTGTTTAAAAGTTGCTGTTCTCATAGCTCATACAAGCTTACTGTGCCCAAATATCCGCCTAAATCCATCAATCACTATATAGAGCAGGCACTATACTGTATAGTGAACTCAGTCAACTTACCTTTTCGGAAAGACCACTGCATGGTGTCTGCACAATCTTTGCTATTAGTTGCTGCTGTCAGGTAGAGGCAGCCTGTGGTGACAGCGTGCCGCTGTGACCCCATAATGCTTTGTAAAAAGAGAGCCCTGCGCACAAAGCTGTTAGGGTCCTGTTTGTGGGGTTTGTTTGTGTTTTCTTTGTGTTTCTCCTTCCACCACTAGATGGTGCCCCTTCCCCGTTTGGGCCTCCTCTCACACCTGCAGCTCGTTGGGTCATCACCAGAGGAGTATTTGAGCAGCGGACTGTCACCACCTCAACGCCAGAGTGTTTGCCAGTATTGGGTACTCTAGTCAAACTGAGCCTAACCATTGTGCCTATTTCCCTCTGAGTCTAAGTTTGCCTTTTCGTCCTTTGTGTTCTCTGGTAGGATAACCCTCCTAATCCGCTGGATAAGCCTGGTCCTTCTTTCCCCTTGGAAGGAAATATTCGTGTCTCTCTGAGCAAGGGGTAACCTTTGCCTGATCCGTTCAATCCCACGTTTGGAAAACACGGCGCCATCCGCTCCATTGTTCCTCTGGACCCAACGCTAGTCTGCCTGTCCGCCCTCCAACGAGTTCAACCACCTCCGGTCATACACCCCACAAACTGGACCCAGGGAGAAACCAAGAACCCCCATTATTGTTTCCGGTTACAGTTCACCTGACCGCAAGATTATCCCCTGCAGAGATTCCCCAACTGTTGGTCTCTCTGAGAACCTCTTTAGTTGTCTTCCCCTAGAGCTGAGATAACGCAGCCAGGTCGCTGTAAGGACCTCCTTAGTTTAGTCTTTGCCCCATTGTGAATCCCCTAGTTTAGCCTCTCTGAGTTTCTTGTCTTTTGTCTCTCTGGTTACCTTACAGTCAACAAACTGGTTATCTTTACACTTCCTGGAGTGGTGTTCTGCATGTGGGCAAACATTTAGGATCCCATCATGACAAAAGCATTCTGGGATACATCTGCTTCTTCTGATGCCTCTCTTTTCTTCTACTACACTTCGTAGACCCTTTTTCTCTTACAACTCTAGGTCATTTTCAAAGAACCACGGTGAGAAATGTGAGCTTCAATGACTGTCTGAAACTGTGACTTCTCACACATATATGCCTGAAAGTGAGCATGTGCAAAAAAAAAAAAAAAATGGGGCTAATGGGATAAGCATAAAAGGACAGCCTTGTGCAAACATATCACCAGAAGGGTTGACAATTAGGAGGAGCTCTTATTTAGATGATCCACCGAGAAACCAAAGATTGTCCTGTGTGCTTTTAATGTATAAACTTTGCAATAAACTGAACAACTTGTGATGGGTGACTTATCAAGCCAGAACTCCTTAAAAAAAAAAATCATCTTCAGCTGGAAAATTAATTATGAAACAAAACAAAAATAAGATGCATGTCACAGGAAAGACCAGTGATGCTACAAATATGGCAATTGCTTAAACTACTGAAAAGAAAAAAATGTATTAATTTATAATTAACTCTTCCCTTATCATCCACAGCGGTACACAATTACACACATTAAAGAAATGTTAATACAAAGCTGCAATGCACTGAAGTTGGTAATAACTTTCTAATGTTTTTCAAATGTGTAACTTAACTATTTAAGGACTAAAAGACCAAAATGACCTGCCAACACTACCTGTAAAACCTATGGGTGATTTTAAAAAGGACACCCAAAAGCCTAAGGTTTTCCAGAAATTCAACATGAAAAAAAAAAACAAAAACAAAAAAAAAATTAAAAACCTTAATAATTGATTTCTGGTCGTTTGTAGCAAATACAAACAAAATTCAATAAATACTTATCAATTAGGGTGACGTCTTTTTCTATGGTTTAATTCTCACTAGTTGTTCATCTCCACACGTCGGATCCCCCCAAAAGTTATCAAAGTGGACACTGAGTTTGCTGCCGATTTTGGGCTGCTTTTGGTGCTAGCCACTGCTGCAATGAAGAAGCCGAAACCATTTACTTTCAGTAACTTTGAAAGAAGCTTTCTACTTTCCTCCATCTTTCTCCCCTTTTCAGCAGAGCTAAGGTAGCTTCTTTTCATCTTTCTTTTCTCTTCTTCTCTTCTCTGCTCATCTCGTCATGTGTTTGGACCTTTCTTCACATTCACAGAAAATAGATTGATCCAGTGTGATGGACAGTGAAGCTGGGGCCCCAAGACACACTTGATGTCATAAGCACTCTGATGACATTTTAGTGAAAGGAGTTTTATCAAAAACATAATTAATGTGCACAAATAAGTAATTGCATGTTGTTGCATAATTCTATGAACCATACATGTAAAAGGAGTTTTATTGGGCCCTAGGCAATTGCCTAGTTTTGCCTAATGATAAATGCGCCCCTGCTGGTTATATTTTAATATACAATGTGATTAAATACATCATAAAGACATCATAAAGACAGCTATAATAGAAATGGGCACATTCTCTCAATCCAAAATCGATGATGATGAAAAGGAAGTTGGTGGGATTATTCAGTATGTTTTGACATGATGACTTAAATAGTGGTAGGTTGGTCTCATACTTGTTAAATGTTGGTTGTATTTACCATTAGTGTGCAGTAATTGCTTACTTACCTAAGCATTATCTAATTAATGGCTGTAAAACGACCATAAGTCTAATATGGACTCCAGAGATCCAGAAACTCCAGTTAGGCTGCATGAGCTCTTTGGGTAACATTACAGAGACCAGGCTCCAACAGTATTATGTAATAATAATATATAAACTAACACACAGCTTGGCGAATACCAGGCTATAATTATAGCAGGACACGTGGTACTAAGATTCTGGACCCACCAGCTGACTAAATGGTGATGCTTCAACATACTTTTATGCCATACTTTTCAAAAAACAACAGAAATAAAGGAGAAAGAGGAGAGAGGGAGAAAGGGGTGCAATACTTGACCCAGTTTTTCAAGAAAGCTTTGTTACCTGAATAGTTAAAATTAACTATAGATTATTAGCATGTTGAGTAAAATAAGCTTGCTATCATTTGGCTAAAACTACTAAGTTAATCCATTTTATGAGCCTTTTGTGTGTCTGTAACAAACACAAAGGCCAAACAAGGTTCACAGTCCTGAGAATTTATCTTTACAAATCAGACCGGGCAACAGGAAAATGACAAATTCCTCAAAGGGTTAATATCAGCTAAATGGTTGTAAATGTTTAGCATGAATTTTATGTTAAATAACTGTCTTTGTCCCTCTCTTCAACCCTCACCCCTCTCCATATTTTTTTCAGATTGTGTCTCTCACAGTGGACATGCACCTACAATGACAATTTATTTATTTTTTATTTTAATCTTTTTTTACAATAACAATTTTAGACCACTCCATTATTTCTAAAAGGGAGAATTTGCAAAATAGCAGGGTGCTGAAATATAATTTTTTTCTCAATGTAAATAAAGTTGGGTTCCTTACTTAGTTGCCTGAATAATTGAGCTCTGGTGTCGTCTGGTGGCGCGAAAACCTAAAAGTTTGTGGTTGAGTTCAAATTAGTCCTCTAGATTTTTTAATATTACTGAAGAACCTGTTGGTGGCGCTATCAGAAAAGATATTTGTGCTAAGTAATGTTTCAATCACACAATAGGTGTAAAACCTCCTTGTTGAAAGAATTGGGTCAGGTTAAAAGAAAACATGAAAGTAAGCCTTAAATTCATTCATAGTTGCAAGACAAAGAGAAAGAGCAGATCTTTCAGTAAACATGGTCTCATTGTTGCAGGAGGCACGCTTTTTTTTCTATAAAACCCCCCAGAAAAACTAGTACGATGCACTTTAGATCTGGATCGCCACACCTACTCCTGTTAGTAAAGCATCAAATGTCTTTATGAAGTCAGTGTCATCATGACTCTGTTATGGATCACAGTCTTTATTCTTCATCAAGGCTGTAAGTACATTATAATTTAGAGGGTGAAACTATTTTCAGTTTGGCATTAACATTTTATTTGATTCATGGATTTTATCTTTAACCCAGATGCCTTAGTTCCTGTGGTCACTGTTCCGCTTGGCGAACCTGTAACTTTTACCTGTGCGGCTATGAAGAAATTCACATCCAGAACATGGATTCACTGGTACAAGCAGAATTCTGGAGATACTCTGATAATTATTGCAATGCAGAGAAACAAAGTAGATCACACTTATAGCCCAGAATTTCCTTCTTCAAGATTCAAAGTTACAAATGATGATAAAATAGGCAACCTCACAATTCTGAGGACAGTTGAACAAGACGAGGGAATGTATCACTGTGCTATTATGGACTGGACAGAGTCTACTTGGATGGGGACGTATTTGATAGTAAAAGGTAAATGTGAGACCTCAAAATTGCAATGTTTTGAAATATTTTGGGTCCTAAACCCCAAAATGCTCTTTAGTTCCTTCTGTGTCAGCTCTTGCTCTCTTGCGAACAAGCCAAGCACAAAAGACAATTTCACTATTCAGGCCCTATAAAGTAATATTTCCTTTCTATCTAAAAATGTCTATTACATTTAACCTATCAGACATCATAGCTTTAAAAAATAAACTTAAACTTTTTTTCAGGAAACTCAAAGAAGACATCCAGCTACACTGTTGTTCAGCAGTCAACAGCCTCAGAATTGTCCCGTCCAGAAGACTCAGAGACTCTGCAGTGTTCAGTTCTCTCTGAGTCAGAGAACAATTCATGTTCAGAATATTTCAGCATTTTCTGGTTCAAAGCTGGATCCAACAGATCCTATCCAAATATCATCTACACTGATAGTAAAAGAGCTGATAACTGTGAGAAAATTCCAGACGCCCAAACAAAATGTACCTATAACTTCCCCAAGAACATCAGCTCCTCTGATCCTGGGACTTACTACTGTGCTGTGGCTACATGTGGAGAAATCTTATTTGGAAATGTCATCAGAGAGGAAGGAGGTAATATACACACATTGAGAAATATGCACAATAATAAGTGATTATTTCAAATGCTTGGAGATACTCATGTTTCTTTTTTCTAGGTCAAACATTATGGTACAAACATACGACTTTGCTCATAACAATAACCCTTTTGGCCATTTCTGTGATCGTACATATAATCTTGATCTTCTATCGAACTCAAGCCTTTCCATGTCAAATAGTTAAAGGTAAGTATTATTAACCGAACAATATTAATTTTGTATTCTACTGAAAAGATCTATAGATCTATAGAAGAAAGTAACAACCTGAGTTTATGTTACGCTTTAGATATTAGCCATCTGACATGTGAGAGATCATTGAAATGAAATGTTATCATTAATTCCTGTTGCTGTTTGTTTGATAGAAAGCCCCTCAGAAGTGGAACGCAACAACTTGACCCAACAAAGAGATGAAATTGTAGGTACTGATAAAGAAATCACAAAACTATTATTTGAGTAAATTTGCTTGAATTTTGCTTGAATTTCTACAAAAATTAATCAAATACATTTCTCTGCACAGCTTGATAAAGGACAGGATCTGAGTTACTCTGCATTACATTTTTCTGGAGGGAAAATACCTAGAGGAACCAAGAAGAGGGAACTGAAGACAGAAGAAATGGTGTATTCAGAAGTCAGACCATCAGGTTAAATGGATGTTGAGATGAAACCATTAATTTTTCCATTAGTCTTCCCAACTTTTTCCCTTTTTTTAGAGAAATAATTTTACATATGTCAGAGGTCATTGCAAGACCAGAACCATGTCTATTCAGGACCATTTACAGTTATTTATAGATCCTGAAAGAATGGAGTCTAAGCTTTCAAATAATGTCAAACTTATGAACAATGAAGAATATATTACTATTTGAATGTTGGCATTCAATTCATTCAGGGACCAAAGGAAATTTGACTGGGGGTTGAATATGGCTGGAGATAAACTCACGTTTGAGGGGGCTGTTGTTAATCCTTGTATCCAGTTTGTGGGGAATTAATCCAGAGGAGACGGAACTCGTTTGAGAGCGGACAGCCAGACATACGTTGGACCCAGAGGAGTAAAGGAGCGGACTGTCACTTGGTTTTCCGATGAGAACTTGAGCGGATCTTGTGGAGGTTTACCACTGCTCAGTGTGTACTCAGTAATCCTTCCAGGGGGAGAAGGTCCAGGTTATCCAGTTACACAGGAAAGGCTACTTGCCGAAGAGCAAAGACAAAAACAAGAGTAGACTCAGAGAAACAAAGCTTCAGTTAGGCTCTGCTAATCTCAGCTTGGCTAGAGTACCCAAAACTGGCAAACACTCTGGTATCAAGGTAGTGACAGGCTGCTGCTCAAATACTCCTCCAGTAATGATCCAACGAGCCGCAGGTGTGCAGGGAGGCCCAACGAGGAACAGGGTACCACCTGGTGGTGGAGAGAGGAAAACATAAAAACAACCCACACAAACTGGTTCCTAACACATCTGAAGCCAGCTGTGTAGCAAAAGTTGCTAATTTTAGTACATTTGCATACCATACCTCCCTCAGATGTACTTACAAAGAGAAGCTTCATGTCAACAAAATGCACTATTTTTCTATGTAAAGGTAATTTACAGCAACTTATTGCAAAATTTGTGTGACATATGTGCGTTTCACAGACAGGAATTTTTTTAGATGTTCAAATTTTTTTACCACAAAATTAAAAGCAAGACATTCAAACTAATCAACAAACTTTACCACTTAAAGTGTTTTACCTTTGGATTTTTTTGTAGTCTGCAACTTGCATCATGATTGCAATTTAATCTAAAATTAACATTAACATCGGTTAAGTTTTTAATTGACATAATGTAACCTGTCAATGTATTCTGGACTTTTGTCAGCAACTGACCAACCGGTGATCACGATTTGTCCTTTAGTAAAATGTCCCTCCCCTACAGGAGCAATTGTGTCTCTCTCTTTTGTCAACATTTCAGGATTTTGCATTTGAAAGGAATAGCAGACATGGGAATTTTGTTAAAAATACATTTTATGAAATGCTCAATATTTAAAAAAATAATGCAATTCAGACATGCTTATACCTTGAAGTATGTACTGGGTAGAACACAGTTCATTTTATTTCCAAAACCGAAAATGGAGTCTTAAAGAGTATACAGATAATTCTTTGTTATTTTGCCATAATTGTTTGCTTATTTCAGCTTGGAAAAAGCCTGCTTTCCCTGACTGACAACAAACATGTGAAAATAAATGTCATCAAGGACAATATGCTGCTATGGGTTGCAAATGAGACACAGCCATTCATGTGGTAATAACATGCTTAAGTTTTTCCCCCTTTTACTTATATACTACTTTATCTTCCACTATTCACAACTTGAAATGACATCTGTGTCCTTTATTATTCTTCCTCTACCTGTGCAAAGAGTGAAGTTTAGTTTGAATTGTTTTTGTTACTTCTTTGAAATTACTTTAATTATCTGATACATCATTAAAATACATGATTTTGTAGGAAAAAATGCTGCCCATTGTTTTTTATTGTGTCACATTTACCTATATTTTATAAAACCCCATCCCCACATCCATCCCCCAGAGCAAAATAAACATACTCGCTACTTAAATAAATGGCTCATAAATACAAATTGCCCCCAAAATAATGGCTTGAAATTGAAAATAGTCAGTCAAAAAATGTAACAAATACATGCAATATCTCCAAGGTAAGGAAAATCCTCTCACACGATGATTTGGAGAGAATCATCCATGCTTTCATTTCTTCAAGACTGGATTACTGTAACAGCCTGTTTACCTGTCTGAGCAAGAAGGAGCTGGGTCGCCTACAAATTGTCCAGAACTCTGCTGCAAGACTCCTGACCCGTAAAAATAGGACAGCCCATGTTAATCCTCTCCTGCAGTCCCTACATTGGCTTCCTGTTGCTTCCAGGATAAATTTTAAAATCCTGGTTCTTACCTTCAGGGCCCTCCATGGACAGGTGCCTGGCTACATGACAGGTCTGATCCAGCCGTATACGTCGGTCCGTAGCCTAAGGTCTTCAGGTCAAAACCTGCTTATGGTTCCTCGGACCCGTTTTAAAACCCGAGGAGACCGGTCCTTTAAAGCGGCGGCACCCCATCTCTGAAATGAACTCCCCCTGTCCCTCCGCTCTCTGGACACGGTGGATATCTTTAAAAAGCAGCTAAAAACACACCTGTTTTCCCTTCCAAAGCACATAGCTTATTGTTTTACTCACTTATTTATTTTAGCTTTTATTGCATTTTATCTGTTTTTACTTGTGTTGTTTTTATGTTTTCATGTGAAGCACTTTGTGACTTCATCTGTGAAAAGTGCTATACAAATAAAGTTTACTTACTTACTTACTTACTTACTATACACATACAGAAATTTTACACAAATGAGTAATTAAGCCAGTCATCAGTGCCAAGACCGTGACACACGAATGGGATTTTTGCTACTGCGTTGGTTAATTTCCTTGATGAAAGTAGTGATATCTTTGAAAAAGGTCCACTGAACTTGAATTCTCGTGTCTGTGAAGTGAACATTTTGTACTTTGATTGTTATAACTATTCCTACCAATATTTTTCATTCTTTTTTCGCTTAAGTGATCTTCTATATTCAAGTCAAAAATTACTTATATATATTACTCGAATACCAACATTTCCACATTCATACCAGGTATAAAAAGGTACGTTGATAAATACATTTTTAATTTAATTAATTTGCAAATAAATCTGAAATACTATATCTAAGATAAATGGGAATTGTCTACCTAAACCTCTGCAAACTTTTGCTGCTTTAAAACTATTAAGGGACAGTTGCATATTTATGTGGTTTAATTTAGTCCAAGTGAACTATTATCACAGTTTCAAGTAATCCAACTATAAGATGGATAAACTTTAATCTTGACAGGAATTATTCATACCAGTATGTGTGTATTTATGTAATGAGAAAAGTTTTGCCTAATGTGATGGATATTCCATATTAAGATGTGCATATTCATAATGCATCTCCTACTGGTAAGGATGATAAAAAAAAGATTTACTGACTCTGAAATATTAAAATTGTGGAAGTTCTTTCAGAGGAATCCGGCATTCTTTGTTTCACTTCTGTTTAATGCTATACCCCTTATATCCACCCAGCAAGACATGAGGTAAAGGTTTACTCATCATTAGGATCATGATGAGGGGCAGAGAGTTGAGAGATTTTCATCTGAGCCCTAGTCTGTCAGCTTCTAGGTGGATTTGCATTGTGAGGTTAAAATATCTGGTCCTTTAATTTAGTCAAATAGAAAGTACTTAATCTTAAGTAGTTAACCACATTAAAAGTCTCTTTGATCTCATTGAGTCTCATTGCTTAGTAAAGATCTTGGTAAAGATTGCTATACCGACTCCAATGTTCAAAGGAGACCAACCAAATGTAGTAAAATGTTCTTAAGCGAAATTTAAATCTAGAAGACTCTTATCAGCTTCACCTGAACCACCTTCGATGTCCCTCGTTCATTTTCAGCCAATAAACGTTGAGACCACACCTCTTCTGAAGCGAATAATCTTTTGAGATGCTCATGATTTTGCTCCTGCCCTAGCTTCTCTCCCACATGCAAGCAAACTTTCACCAACCTCCACCCCATCTCCTCCCTCCCTCACTCTATTCTCAGTCCCACTCCCCCTCTGGCTTATTACACTACCAGTTTTAGAACCCTGGGGAAAGACTACTTTAATGATTTTCCTAGGTGACTCATTCAAGCATATGTCAATTCTCAGCATCAAAGTTGACTTATGATCTCTCTGACTGTGTGATACGGTTGGGTGGTCTGATTGGAGTGCCTTAGGGGGGCACATGTTTTTGTTTCTTGCTGTATAAATAAACTGAAATGAATTGAATAAAACATTCCTAATTGCAGGATTCCCTATGTGAGTCTGTCCAGGTTGAATCGTTGGTATTGTTATTGCTATGTTTTTTAGTAATTCCTTTGCTTAAGATTTTAGAACCAGAAACCAGAAGCCCTTCCTCCTCCTGAGTGTCAGTTAGTAGTACCCTGGAGACATTTGACACTGGTGGGGAACAATTTAAACCCCATTGTGTGATGCACTAATTTCTGAGCTGTTTATACGGTGATGATGCGCTGATTGCAATACTGTTTATGTGCCAATGGAGATGCTGTTGAATTACTGATAAAGTGCTAAATATAAGTCCCTGCAAAAAGCTTAAAGAGTGTGTGGAAAAGCCTAGCCGGCAAAAGTGTAGAGAGGGTGCCGACTGCACATACCTTGCAAAAGGCGAAGGGATGGTGTGGACCGGCCGTTCCTAGAGAGAGAGGTGCTGACCAGCTAAGCTTGAAAAGATGTGTAAAGTTGAGAGACATAGACATAGAGAGGATGCCGATTGGCCATGCCCTGCAAAAGTCAAAGAGATGGTGCCGACCGGCTGTTAGAGGGTATGGTCGGATCATGCCTGCAAAGGGGGTAGAGATTGTGTGGACTGAGGGCCTGCTAAGGCATGAAGAAATAAGCAGGAGATAAGTAAGCTATCTTAAGTACAGGAAGTGAGGAGATGGGGAAGACTTACCACCACCAATCAGTTCCTGAATGTGCTTACTTCAAGGTTAAGAGAGCGTTGAGCCACTTAATAAAGAGAAGAGATCAGCACTGGCAAGTTTTAGAGGTGATGTTGTAAAAATAACTTGGGTGCAGCTGACGTGCTGCCCCTATTCTAAATGAATGACCCTGAAGAATGTCTATGGGGAAGATTGCAAGGGTTACGATTAATCTGAGTGTTTAAGGAAACTTGAAGAGGACAGTGAGGGGGCATAGGGCCATTTATATCGGTGACTGAGATGATGCTGTCATGGTCTTGGTTCTGCTGTTCTTTTCTTTGCTCCTTGTTTTCTAGATTTATTGGCCTAATTCCAGTTTTGTTGTATTTCTAGATTTATATTAGTTCTCATGTTTTTCTGTTGTCCTCTTTTGCCCTCTTGTGTGTGTGTATGTTCCTTTCCCCTTGGCTCCCTCGTTGTCTCCTCTCACACCTGTGCCTTGTCTGCTCGTTAGCCCTCCCTTTGTCTCTCTCTCCTATATATTTTCTCTCTCTCCTTTGTCTCTCCCTCCCCTCTGCTCTCACTCTTTGTTGGTTCCTTGTCTTTGCTGTCCTCCCATGCTGTTGTCCACGTTCCTCGTCTCTCCCTGGCTCCTCGTGTTTGGTTTTCCCCAGATGTCTCCATAGTTCTGGTTTGCTTTTGATTATTAGTTGGATTTTTGCATTCCTGCCTTTGTTGCTGTTTTTGCCCCATTAAACTACCCAGAAATCTCCTCAGCCTGTCTGCCTCTGCATTTGGGTCCTCCAAACCACAACTAAACCCTGACAATAGGAACCAACCACAATGGACCCAGCAGAGCCCAGTCTGGACACCCTGAGGGATTTTTTCCTGAAGCTGGGAAAGGCTCTGGATACTATTGCCAGTCTCAGCCCGCCTGAGGAGAGGGTGAGTGCAGCTGGCCAACTAAGGCAAATTCTCACAAACTCCAAACTCATTTCTCCCCCAGTGCTGTCTGAACTGTTTGAAGAGTTGGAGTGGAACCACCAAGCAGCCAGCGCCCAACTCTTCAACAGTCCTCCACCACCCAAACCATCACTTCACCTCCTTCCAACTCTGCTCTCTATCGCCTCCAGTCCGGGTTCCTCCACCTTCACCAGCTGTTGGTCCCCCCATGCCGTCTGCCTCCTCCGGGCGTAAGCGCCGCCGGGGGAAGAAATCCATTCCCTCTCCGGCGGGTCAGCCTGACGCCTCCACTCCCTCTCCGGCGGGTCAGCCTGACGCCTCCACTCCCTCTCCGGCGAGTCAGCCTGGCGCCTCCACTCCCTCTCCGGCGGGTCAGCCTGGCGCCTCCACTCCCTCTCCGGCGGGTCAGCCTGGCGCCTCCACTCCCTCTCCGGCGGGTCAGCCTGGCGCCTCCACTCCCTCTCCGGCGGGTCAGCCTGGCGCCTCCACCCCCTCTCCGGCGGGTCAGCCTGGCGCCACCACTCCCTCTCCGGCGGGTCAGCCTGGCGCCTCCACTCCCTCTCCGGCGGGTCAGCCTGGCGCCACCACTCCCTCTCCGGCGGGTCAGCCTGGCGCCTCCACTCCCTCTCCGGCGGGTCAGCCTGACGCCTCCACTCCCTCTCCGGCGGGTCAGCCTGACGCCTCCACTCCCTCTCCGGCGGGTCAGCCTGACGCCTCCACTCCCTCTCCGGCGGGTCAGCCTGACGCCTCCACTCCCTCTCCGGCGGGTCAGCCTGACGCCTCCACTCCCTCTCCGGCGGGTCAGCCTGACGCCTCCACTCCCTCTCCGGCGGGTCAGCCTGACGCCTGCTTCAATCCCACTCTTCTTCAGGTCAGTTTCCCCTATGGCCTTGGCCGTCACCTCCATGATCAGCAGTTAGCTCCTCGAGTTAGAGGTTTAAAGTCAGTCACCATGATTAC